ATCTTTATGACGTCACTAACACCATAAAGATCTAGATCAGTGGTTGTACGTCTGTACAAGTTGTGATAAAGCTACTCGTGAGTTTAGAAATACATCATCCATCTAAGGTTTTGGCCCTTCAGAATGGCATAGACGCCACATATGGGGTTCTTCTCGAGTTAGAAGACAAGGAAGACTTTGCGAAAGAGAAGTAAAAAAATTTTAAACAAGATCAACAAGGAAAGGCGGCGTTCAATGAACGCAACCCCCACCGACCCAGTAACAAGAGCCAGCGGCAAGGAGCCCAGATGGACCCCAAACAAAAACACGTCAGGGCACAAGGCAGATCACGGGCTGGCCAACCATCAAAATCATAAATTATTAGTAACTAATAAGGAACTAAAAGAAAACAAATAAATGATCGAAGGGGACAGGAGACCCGGGGAAGGGAGGGGATGCATTAAATAAATTAACCTTCTATATTATATAGATAACAAGAAATTAAATATAAGTTTCTGATCAGCAGTTTGTGTACTTCACTACCCGCATAATTGAAGACTGAGAACGCTAAAATAGAGAAAATAAGAATCCCTAAAGAAAGTCCAACACAACATAATTGAAAATGTTGGACGGTGACTTGCCCGTACTTCACTTCAGTGTTGTTATATTTTCTGGTCCTTCGGGATCATTGATGCCAACACTAAAAAGTGTTGAGAATTGAGTACCGCTCAAGCCGGTGCTAGGGGCTTCCCACTGAATAGTCCTTGGCCATAAGAGTTTTTTTTTATTTTAGCATTTCAAACATAATATTAAAATATGATAAACAAGATCAACAAGGAAATGCGGCGTTCATTATGTGGCGTTCAATGAACGCAACTCCACACGATCCAGCAATATTAAGTTTATTTGTCATGTACTATGGCGGTGACGGTTGGGCTTATCTATAAAAAGAGGGGGCGTGAGGGAATTTTGAATTTTGAAATTGAAATTAAAAGCGTTCTGAATACTTCGATTTTTCCTATAGGAGTGAGAATTCTCCTCTTTCAAAAAGTTACTAAATTTTGAATCTTAAGTAATTTATCTGCATAGTTTATATGAATCATTTGTTCTAAATTTACATCAAAAGTAATACACTATTGGTCCCATGATAATTCCCATCTCTTTTTTTTTTATACAATTTTAAGAGTATTTGTTGTTTTCCTATCCACATTTGTCTTAGATGACGCATCGAGTGTCTGCTTGACACGTCCAGTAGTAATAATCCGCAAATAGAGATTATTTATGTTCTAGCCTATATGTTTATACCTTTCAATTTCTGATATTTAGGAAAAGAATTTCAGAACATAAAATAAAGATGTATCAAGGAAGCGGATCTCAGTATTTTGTACAAAGTTGATTGTGGGGGTTTTACGGCACATTTAAACATAACGGGAACTCTGTATGTTAAAATAACATTATCAAATATGACAAACAAGATCATCAAGGAAAAGCGGCGTACAATGAATCAAACCTGTAAAGTAGTCGATCGAAGGTTTGGAAGAAAATGAGTCAAAAAAGTTCTGGAATTGATTATCTATCACGAACTTTTGTAAGATCATAACTGACGTAATGCAAAGAAAAGCTAGATTTGGTTATTCACAACCAGTAAAGTTTGAGCATTACAATGTTCGTGTGACGTAAAACCCAACCAAAAGCACACCGGTTTTAATCATCAACTAACCTAGCAAAAACAGGTACAATATAAGAGAAACAAGATAAAGAAAGGAGGCATTCAATGACCGCATACCGTCGGCAAGGAGCCCAGTACGACACTAAACAGGACGGACACACATGCTTAAGAACGGGATATAATTATAAAACGGGACAAAAACGGAAAACCAGTCATACAGCCTATTCTGTAAGTCCCAGGCCGGTACTGTAAAATGTCCATGATAGCCGTTGGCCGAGTGAATACTTGAAATCAACACTAGGGACCAAATCCTGCAATACACACAGATTCATCTATCGTAACATCGGTGATATTTTAGTTAATGTTTATTTAGGTTTTAGGTTTAACGGTACATGAACACATTACATGACATAACACGCCGGACATTGTAATAATTATTGTAAGTTTATCAATCCTTGAATTGAGTGATTAAATCTAAGAACACAAAAAAATATTTTAATATAAATAGTAAACATAAATAGTCAATCAATGCTCTTGTCAGTTACCCGTACAGGTCCTCACATGCACTGGGGTACAAGTGTCGTGACGAATGCTGCAATTTTTATAATACCTTACGTAAGACTCAAACAAGATCAAAAAGTAAAGGTGGTGTACAACGAACGCAACCCCAACACGTCCCAGCCACAAGAACCAGCGGCAAGGAGGACCCAGTCTGCACTTTTCATGTAATTATGTTATGAATATCACGTCCTAATATCACTTTTCTCTGATTTTCTATTCAGGTTAAGCTGGAAAGGGGACACGTAGTTTAACTGTAAGCGTGTAATCCTTTTTGTATGGTTACTGGGGTCCTACATATTTACCGGACAATCAGTTTACCGGACAAAATCTATTCCTGTCAAAAAAGGCTTTATTTTTTGTTTCGATTCAAAAATCATCCGGTCTGAATCGTAAACACACTTTCTATTTCAAAGTAAATAATAACACAAGAAACATGGCAATGCCATGAAACCAGGTTTTCAATTATCACCATTGTTGATAAATATGTTGTATTTGAAACAAAAATACAAGCAACAAACAATGTAACTATGTGCAATGTAAAACATGAATAATGTAGGAGGAATTGCCACAGAAGAAGTGTTCACTATATATTCTGTATAAGGAAAAAAAACAAAGGCCATAATTAGGTAAAAAATTATCCAATCACAAAACCCCGACAATATGTGCAAGGGCACTTGATGACAAAGCTTCTGTGAAAGTTTGAGCAAAATCCGTTGAGAAATGTAGGAGAAGTTCAGCACAAAAGAAATTGTTCACTATATTCTGTATAAGGAAAAAAACAAAGGGCCATAATTAGGTCAAATATATTCCAATCACAAAACCCCGGCAATATGCGCCAGGGCACTTGATAACAAAGCTTCTGTGAAAGTTTGGTCAAAATCCGTTGAGAAATGTAGAAGTTCAGCACAGAAGAAATTGTTCACTATATATTCTATATAAGGAAAAAAAACAAAGGGCCATAATTTAGGTCAAATATTATCCAATCGCAAATCCCCGACAATATGCCCCAGGGCACTTGATGACAAAGCTTCTGTGAAAGTTTGGTCAAAATCTGTTGAGAAATGTAGGAGGAGTTGCGCACAGAAGAAATTGTTTACGCCCGCCCGCCCGCCGACATACCTCAATCTAATAACCAGTTTTTTCCTTCGGAAAACCTAGTTAAAAACCACTCTCAGGCAGATATTGATGATTCAGTTCTTTATTTACTAACATACCCTTTTGTTTAATGGTTATTCCATGACCTGGTCATGCGGGGGAATAATCTGTTCTGCGCATGTCCGAATATTGTGGCCCTGAATGGGTTATTTTAGATAGGTTTTACTTTTGATTCTTCTCAACGTTAACTCAGGAGACAATCGTAACATATTTTAATGATAAAAAGAAATTTTAAATTTAGTTCAAACAACATCTCGTTGTTGTCTTTTACAAAGAAATGCAAATTAAACAAGAGCCACCGCCGAGCGGGGGCAACGCTCGACTTTTTACTTTTTCTAAACGCAAACATAGAAAGGTTTGAACATATCCTAATGTTTCCTTTTTATAAATTTAGTTGGTCTGTCTTGTCACATAAGTTTTGTTTATATATTTTGTATATATATATGAATAGAAACAATTTCTAAAAATAGAAAAATGACGCAATTTCTAAAAATAGCAACAATGATGCAATTTCTAAAATAGAAAAAATGACGCAATTTCTAAAAATAGCAACAATGATGCAATTTCTAAAAATAGAAAAGCTGACGCAATTTCTAAAAATAGAAAAAAATGACGCAATTTCTAAAAATAGCAACAATGATGCAATAGAAAAAATGACGCAATTTCTAAAAATAGCAACAATGATGCAATTTCTTAAAATAGAAAAAATGACGCAATTTCAAAAAATAGAAAAAAATGACGTAATTTCTAAAAATAGAAACAATGACGCAATTTCTAAAAATAGCAACAAATGACGCAATTTCTAAAATAGAAAAAATGACGCAATTTCTAAAAATAGCAACAATGACGCAATTTCTGAAAATAGCAACAATGACGCAATTTCTAAAAAGAGCAACAATGATGCAATTTCTAAAAATAGAATAGCTGACGCAATTTCTAAAAATAGAAAAAAATGACGCAATTTCTAAAAATAGCAACATTGATGCTAAAAATAGAAAAAATGACGCAATTTCTAAAAATAGAAAAAATGACACAATTTCTAAAAATAGAAACAATGACGCAATTTCTAAAAATAGCAACAATGACGCAATTTCTAAAAATAGAAACAATGACGCAATTTCTAAAAAATAGAAAGAATGATGCAATTTCTAAAAATAGAAAGAATGACGCAATTCTATAAATAGAAACAATGACCCAATTCTATAAATAGAAACAATGACGCAATTCTATAAATAGAAACAATGACGCAATTCTAGTTGTTGTTGTTGTAAATATATATATATATAGACACACACACACACACACACCAATAAATATATAATTATGGTCATTTAATGCACAAATCTGAGAAAATTCAGTAATTTAACCTTCAAGGTCAAGGTCATTAAAGAGCCCAAGCAAATTTGGGTTTGATAAACAACAAGGTCTGGCGAGCGTTTCACTAACATAACGTAAGTTTTGCGTATCTATTTACGTAAATTTGGACTTACGCAAAACGTAAATTTACGTTAGTTGCGTTTCACTAAACAGAACGTAGCGTAATTTTACGACACTGAAAATTTACGTTAACCGACTTTTCAATAGGAGGTAAAAAAGCGCTCCCGGATGTTGACAAGTCGTCTGTCAAAACATCAAAATGGATAAACACCCGGACAAAAAGCGGAATGAAAACTGGACAAAGGGGGAGGTGGAGGCGTTGTTGACTGGTTACATCAATAACCACAGCGAAATAGAAAGTAGATTTTCTATTGAACTGACTGCCCAAGTTAAGGAGGCTTGTTGGCAGGATATTTTGGAGAGGTAAATTATCATGTTACGATGTAGGTCCGTCGAAAGTAAAGTAAGCAGAGCCTAGATCTATATTTGGCCTCGTCCTAAATTTTTTTAAATATAACGTCGCTTGATATTTGTGCTTCTTGGCAAAGCACAAGGCTTGATCGACATAAACTATAACAAGTCTGTAAGGTCTGGTAGATTCTATATTGATCTATCCCGAAACGAATCCGGGTCAGCTCGGGCGGCCCTTAAACGTACTCGGCCACACCGAGTCAGCTCGGCCCTATACCAACTCAACACGTATATTGTACTGTACATATGTTATAACATTTAGTGTAAGTTTTTTAAAATCCTGTAAAAACTGTTGAAAATTATTGAAAAGACTGTTATGAAATTTTCTACAATTTTTAGTAGCCCATCTTGCACAAATTCTTTAGTGGTGATTACCCTGCTGTTTGAATTTAGGTTAAAATATCACTCACTCCCTGGGAGTGACCTGAGTGGGTCATATTGTTTTTATTGTTTTTCTAAGAAAGATTAAGACATATTGGAAATGTACCAACCATAAAATGAATAAATGTTGATAGATGCATTAATATCTAATATGAATTTAAAGCATAATTTCCCCTTCCATTTATTATTGGCTAAAAACAACTTAACTGATTGAATATTGGTTGTTCCGGGATATATTTGGCCCATTTTTAATTAAAGAATACGGAAAAAAATATAGGATGAAATTATAAAAAATAAAATCGTATGAGTGTCAAACATCTTTATTTCTTTAATTATGTGCTTTGTACATGCAGCGTCCTTCAAATAGAAAGACTCTGGTACTGGGAAGGACTTACAGTTACTTATAATCTATAAAACGTTACATATACTGGGATCCTACATATTACCGGACAAAATATGATGTTTTTTCGCTGTAACATTTATTCAAAATAATAAAAAAGAAAGAAATTTTACCCAAATATATGTGGGTTCTTAATATAAGTAAACATTCCTTTATCAAACATAAAATCAAACATTTGACCATAGACATGTGTCTTTAAATTAGGGCATTAAAAGATGAAAAAAATTGTGTAGACAACTCAATTTACCGGACATGTATAGAACATTGTGTTTCAATTTTTTTGGAAGTCTAATTAAATTGAAATTTAGCAAGGAAACTACGACTATTGAATGTCAATGTTAAGATACTGTAGTAAAAGTCCACAGAATGTTACTTTCTAGTAATTTCTACAGGTACAATGTGTAGTTGAAATTTATGGAAATAAGTGATTAAGTTAAAGGTCATATAATTATACAAATGTAAAAGTACTAAACATCATTACAAAAATTCCAGGACGAAAAAAAATGAGGCCTGCATTCAACATTGTCTATTGTTATCTTAAATATTTTTTTCTGTCAATTCAGTGTTAACAGCCAGAGTTCCTGTACCAGAACCATAAATGAACTTAAAAAAAAATGGTCCGACCTTAAAATGGCTATTAAAAAAAAGGAGAGAGAATGTCGGCTGTTTGCCAGTAAGACTGGAGGAGGGCCACCTCCAGCTAATCCAGACAGTTTGGAAGAAAAGGTAATCAAATAGCATGCATTTGAAACAAATCTGTCTTTATCCCAATTTCACTTGCAAAAAAAATATGTTATATATTCTATGTGTTTTCAACTTGTGTCAAAAATACATTAATTTTGTACATCATCGTCATCATGTAATTTTTTTTCTGAAAAATCCTAATTTTTGTTTCTTTATATTTTGTTTCAAGGGATAAATTGATTTAAAAAAAACTAAACTATGATTTACTTCAATCTTAAGTTAACTTTTAGGTTCTACAGTTGATTGGAGAGAGTACAGTTGCTGGTATTTCGGGTGTAGATACCTTCAGGGAAAACTGTAAGTAAATTTCAATCCAAAAACATGTGTTTCTTGAAGTACAAGTAATGATAAACATTTCAGAATTAGTTAATAATAATGATTTGTAAAAATAGGAATTTAGTAATTATGGCAATTGTTTTTCCAATAAATTTATGTTCATCCAGAAAAAATGTAATTGATAACTGTTACAACAGACAAGTTTGCATCCAGATAGTTTAGTGGTAGAACAGCTGTTACTTTGTGACAGAAGGCCTGGGTTCAATTCCCAGTTTGGATTACTGTTTTGTTTTGTTGACAGTTGTCATTACTTTTTCCTTTGTCCAAGTTCTTTTAATTATTTAATTAAAATTTTTTTGCAAAAGTTTGTTTATGTATTCATGCTATTATGTTGATTCTCAGTTTTATGATTTTAAGTTTGGGATTTGCTACCCAAGCCTTGTTTGTTCCTAGGCAGCTGAAAAATCCAATACTGCTTAGTAGTATGGAATAGTTGCAAATATATTTGTGGATTTAATGGGTAAAACTATAGCATAAAAATGTTATTTCATCAGACACCATTAACTTTGAAACAGAAATGAGTTTTGTTTGACATTCAGTATATAACTAATTTTCACAGCATTTAATTTTGTTTATTTTCACAAATAAAATTTATTTGTCTTTAGTGTCTTCTTCTATCAGCAACATGAGCAATGTGCAAGAGGCTTCTTGTACAAATGATGGAGATGCTGATGCTTCAAGTAGTGGTAATTTGGCAGAATCAGCACCATCTGCTACACTTGTTAATACAAGTAACTCTGTAAGTCTAATTATATGTTTACCTATGTTCAAGCATAATATTTTCTATGAACATGTATCATAATATTCATGTGGAGTAAAATGTCTGTGTCCCATGTATGAAAACTAGACAATATTATCTGTTATGCTAATTGCACATCATTTACTCTCTTAAGTCTCTTTTCACAAAACATAGTTATAAGCAATTGCCGACACTTAATGAACCTTTTTAGTGTAACATAATAAAGTATTTACAGATTGCTAATTATGAATCAATAAAACTCTGACACTTTTCAAGGACATTTCAAATTTTATTGCACATATTTCAATACTGAATTGCTTGATATCATATTACAAATGTATATGACAATGAATATCAAACCATTTTATTAACCTTTCACCTGCTTGAATGTTGCCACCTACACAGAGCCACGTCAAATACACAGCTGTCAAATCTGGCCAGGCTCTATACATATGCCAGGCTGTCTTTCAATTTTCATATCCACAAATGGAGAATGGAAAGTACTGAAATTTAAGGTTGGATGTCTATCGCAATAATTCAGCAGGTAAAGGGTTAATCAAATGTTGAGGAAATACTTACCTTATTATGAAGAAATATTACATTAATGATTTTCTTATCATATACCAGCACAGCTTTTGCAAGTCAGCAACATTGATACTACACTTCTGTGTATAACTTTCAGGATAAGATTATATGACTTGTCATTTCAAATGACACTAAATATTTGAAAACATTACAGAATAAGCTTGTAGGTATGGAAATTACAATATAGACTGTCTTTTTTACAAATAATACTTACATAATGTACTGGTATGTGATAAAATTATAACTATTTAATTATTTTTGTGTGATTTTCTTACTAAATACATTGAAAAAATTGAATAACAAAATAACATGTTCACAATAGGCAAAAATGATATAATTCAATTGAAGACATGAAATAAATTCAATTATGAATTTTCACAACATTCAAATTTTACTTCCAGGAAAAAAGAAAACGGACGGTCAGTGAACCATTAGGTAAATGTATTACAAATTATTTCCAGCTGTTCATTAAAGGGGCTACACTGAGGTCTGACGGGTAATTTGGTGTCCAAAAAAAATGTATACAAATTTCCCCACAAATCACAATATTATGACTAAAATAACAATAACTTACACTTTAACCAACCCTCTAACAACAATTATGCTAGAAAATGCATATTCACTTAGCTTTTGATGCAAAAATGAAAGTTGGTTTTCCCAGACATGTACAGAAGTTACCCACAATTCATCGGGTATAACTAAAATACGCAACGGGCATTTTTGGAACAACAGAGTAAACGGGGGTAAAAAAGTCTATTGATTTTTTCTCAACTCTCTAACCTATCATGTTTATATAACTTGAGTATAACGAAGAAAAACTGTATAAAAGATAATCAAGGTAGCAATTTCGTTGTCTTGAAAAATCAAACGACAGCGAAGCGGTCATTTTCTAGACAAAACGGAAAGATATTATATACATGTACAATTATTTTTATTGACATTTCAGTTTCAATTTCAATATTCTAAGGCAAACATAATGCATCGGTGATATTTATACTAAAACGAGCACAGTGTAATCACACTAATAAATGTATGTAACGCTATCTATAACGTATTTAAATCAAATACAGTTAATGACATGTCTCATTTGATTTGATTGTTTGTATTTGGGATGGAGTGGGGGTTACGTCACACAAAACTGTGTAGGTCATTTTGGCGACTCTTCAGTTTTACTGGTGGAGAAAGAACTCAGGTGCCCCCTTTGCAAAATTGTTTCTGGCACAAACGGGCATCTGTGTATGTAATGAGTGACGTTTCGTAGGCTATCTTGATAGGATCGTACATACACGTTCCACACACAATTACATCATATTCATACCATAGGCAAAATTAAATGCACGTTTCCTATTGTAACAATATGAAACCCCAGAAAAAAAACCTATGAACTAGCTTCTGAATGTGGCATTTCTATCGTTATTCCATAAAAGCACCCCCCCCCCCAAAAAAAAAAAAAAGAATGAATACATCAATGGGCATGCTCTGGAGTGTTGGTATTTATTACCTGCACTCCAGTTACGCACTGTGCATGTATATGCACTGTGCATGTATATGAATTCGATTTAACTCTGACACGTTTTCAACAGAAAAGTCTTCAAACTATGATACAATAAATGTTTATGATTCTATTAGAAACTTGTTTAGAATTTAATGATTTTTTGGTGCAAACGATATAGTTTACTTGTACTACAGATAAGATCAAAGTGCTGAAGGCACTGAAGAAAAAACGGATAAACTATCACATTTTCACTCCAGTTTCACAGGTAAATTAATTTTATATGTCGCGGTTTACATCTAAATATCAGCTAACCTTTGCTTTTTGAGACTTTTGTTTTTGAAAATAATCTAAACGAGTAAAATAAATCCTCTTTTATAGGCAAATAATTTAATAAGTAGCATCCCCGATTTCTCTTTCATAAATTGGCTTTAGCAAATTCTTTTCTATTCAAATATTAAGAACATTCTGTCAGTGACGTGTCCTCTACTTGAAATCTTCCTGGTGTGTTTTTTTCGGTAACAGGAAGAAAATGACAGTCTGTTCGTATCATTCGGTAACAGGAAGAAAATGACAGTCTGTTCATTTGATCTTGACTGTGAAAAATCATGTTTTGTGAACCAATTTATCCTGCCGATAAAGATTTTGCAAGCAATCAGGTGGTTTATGTTCTAGTGCTTACACTTAATTTTTAATCCCAAAGAACATTTCTTAGGAGACCTTTAAGTTTGATTACGGTATAATCACTATAATCTAAATACTTAGGAATTAATTTTAATTCCTGTTACTGTGAAATTTTTCGTTCACGTGTTTAAAATACTTAAGTAGCTCTAAAATTTTCAAAACGATATCCAGTATTTCCGAAACAATTTACAAAGGCTTTTAATACACAATCTTATGAATCTTAAAGTATTACGAGAACCACCCATTTAATCTCCAGAAATACATACGAAAAACAAGATAAATCAAAAGGCTGCAAGCTCTGTGGTATTTTCTGATCTTTGCAATATAAATCGCACTGTACAACTGTATCATTTTCCTGTATAAGTTTATTTTTATGTACTATAATTCTTCTTGCTTGGTACCAGAGTTTGAAACATTTTGCATGACTAGAGATGCATCAAAAATCATTTATGTTCATTTTTATGACAGCCACACTTTATCCTTGCATATCGTGGCTATTTCCTTAACAAAGAAACTTTATAAAAAATAATTGCCTTGAATTGGATTTGAACCCCGGAGACACTAAACGAGCGCGTTACCCTTGCACCACGGAGAAGATATACGAACAATGCCTGAATAAAATCAAGTAATACTAAATTTAGATTTTTCACTGCATTTCGGGTTAATTTCGAGGTTTTTTGTTCAAGATAAACCTGTTCTTTAACATTGATGTAAATAATTTAACAAAAATCTTCTCGCCAAAACAGTCCGACATGTATATATTCCACTACTCGACAGTCAGATTTATTTGTGAAAAAAGCTCTCGACATCGCTTAAAATAGCATTTTCATTGATTAAAATGATATTCATCCGCGTAATTTGTGAATGTGCATTCATTGACAATTCTATAAGCCAAAGCTACTTTTAAACTTTGAATGCGTTGTAATCTGTTGGATACTTATAACAAAATGAAAATATTTCTTTCTTTTAAATCGGTCGTTTTCATGTGTTCTAAGAATTGTTTGTTGTTAGTTTTGTCGTGAAACCGCTGTGTCAGAGATTGAATGTTAGCTTTGTATTTCCTAATCTTCGATCAGAAATACAAAAAGGAATGGTAACATTCAATGAATACAACACCCATACGACCAAGCAAAACAGGACCACAGCTAAATTATCAATGAAAACATTAATTTCAGGCTTTCAAGTGGTAAATAAAAAGAATAAACAACAAAAATGAAAAACAGGAAGAAAGAAGAGACAAAAGTAGAGAAAAGTAAAGGTTTTCGTGCTATAAAGAAAGAAAAGCAGCGTTCTCTCCCTAACTTATTTATGCAATGAAATGCATCCGATCAATATTTAGCCATTGTAGTTTTTGAAACCAGTCACTCGTGTTTTCAAAATAGTCGGGAAATGAACCCGACTTTTTTATCAAAACATTTACAAAACTATTAACAATGAGTATGCCATGATAAATAGGCTATAAGGAGTAAAAACAATGGTTTATATATGCATTGCCCTTTACCGTCTAGGAGTTGGAAGTATTATAAAACATAGTTTAAGCAATGGTTGTTGTATGAGGTGAGGTTAATAATATCTTACTGAATTCTTAAAGTTACTTTTACTTACCTGCCCTTCACATTTGTCTTGCTGTATCATGATTTTGTTTGTTTCGTTTAATTTGAAAGAAAGTTAGGGTTTAAAAAACAACAACTATATAATCAGTTTTAAGTTTATTTCACTAGTCACGGCAATAACCCTGCTGTGGAAGCTTGACTATGTCGGGGGCTGCGTCATGTGAACGTTGCCGTCGCCTTGATTGTCTTTATTCCAGTTTTCCTTTTTTACTCTTATAACGCTCTCAATTTCTTTTCCACCGGGAAGCTTTCAATATATTGGTAACATTAAAGCACAGCTCAATTGACCCATCACTAGTACGGAGGCCTTCCAATAAGAAAAAAATTATCAGGATATCTGCTAAATCAATAATGATAATAATAATATTAATAGAGCCAGATTGTAACTCTTTTCCGACCTTCTTGATAATGTTTACCATGTGCATGAAACAGGTATCAATTACCTATAGTTTTGAATGTCTAGATCAAAACATAGTAATCTTTTCATCAACAAAGTTTACATCCAATGCGGATAAATATGCAAGTATGTATGTAAAATGATAAATATTAAATTTCAGATCTATCTAGCAAAGGAGATCGATTTTTTCTTAAAGAATTTTAATTATGTGCACTAGACATACATTAGAAATATTATCTAATAAAGTTGAAGCCTAAATGTCCTATAATGAGGCCGGATTCATTCTCTATTTAGCCAGTGCTTTCAGTGCTTTGATCAGAGTTAAAGAGAAAATTCTGGAATAACATTCTGTGTGTGCGTGTGATTTTTTATGCTTACAATACTCAAATTCATGTTCGTTGTATAAAAGGTATTACGAAGTTTTTTTTTCCTGAACGACAAAGTAAATTTTCTTGGCCTAGATATCATGATATTTTAACCATTACAAAGTTAATACATAATATTTAATAATTACACGAAAGCTCTCAAATTAACATAGAATATTTGTAAAATTTGTGTATGTCAGTTTCGAACTCCGTACTGTACGTTTAGCTAAATTCATCATTGTAATGCAGAAAAAAAACATGATTACAACAATGTAATGCTTTAAATATATTGAAATTGCTTTTGAAAGATTTTTCTCACAAGAACATATGTGAACAACAAGAAATTTAACAAACAAACCCATTATTTGCTTTTAAATTTATGGATTGTTGGTATATTCCGGTTTCGCACTTTCGTTGCTGCCGATACACAAAAAATTCTCCGTTTCGCTTTTTAGTCATCCCGAGAATCATCACGTGACCGTTGTTTTTATTCAGATTTGCAAACTGAAAGGTGTTGTTCGGGAACTTGGGTTCTACTTCAAATATAAATCTAAACGAGTATGCGCCTTTAACTTTTATTTCCTTGATAAACGTCAATAAGCGTTGATAAGCGTTGATAAGCGATTCTCTGAAATATTCATTTACAATTTGTACTTCGCAATAAATAATAAACATAAAAACATTCACATCATCAATAAATTATATATGAATTACACAATAAATCTAATTAGAACTTTTGTACCTTTAAATTAAATCTTACTGTAAATTATCATTTAAAACAATTGCATTATTTTGTTAAATTAAACAAACCGATTTTGACTTGTCTCAATACATCAAGTTCCAGATTTAAAATGACGAGATTCTCAATAACAAAACAAAACAAA